TTCTGACCCACAGGATCATGGGAAAAATTCAACATATGCTTAGCACCCTTTAGGGTTAGCTTGATCCATGGCCATAGTTCTCTAGAGCAGTGATCCACACCAAATACCCTTTGACTTAAGAACTGGACTTCTATGAATCTAACAAATGGACAAAGCCCCCAAACAAAAACGTGCACAGTAGCACTGTCTAATAGCACAAGACTGGAAATCATCCCTGTCTCTCTCATTCTCATGAATGAGTTAAGTTAATTCTTAAGTTAACAGTAGGTAAGTTAATTTTAGTGCATTTGCTTAACGACACACAGTAGCTGCTGAAAGTCGGGGGAGAAGCAAAGTCCCGGGGGTGGGGGGCACGTGAGTCCAGGGTGTCCAAGAATGGCCAAGAGCACAGATTCTGGCTCTGCCACCTATGGGCTGGGGGACTTGGGAAACTGTTTAACGTGGGCAAGAGAATTCTTTTTGGTATGGGGGATTGAATCCAGGGCCCTCCCACTGAGCTACATCCCCATCCCTTTTAATTAATTAATTAATTAATTTTTGGTACTGGGAATCAAACTCAGGGCCTTGCACTTTCAAGGGAGGTGTGGTGCCACTGAGCTAAATCCCTGGCCCTATTTTTATTTTTATTTTTTTTTGAGAAAGGGTCTCAGTAAGTCGCTGAGGCTGAGCTTGAACTTGTGATTCTCCTGCCTCGGCCTCCCAGAGTAGAATGTTTTTGAAGAAATGGATTCATGCTGCACTTCCTGTTCTGATTCTCCCTGTCTCCTAGAAATTCATCCTACCTCAGCAAAGGCAGATCCACTGCATCTTTTTAACAGCTGCCTGGCTTTGCACTGTGCGACTGCACCACCCTTTTATCTTGCCATCCTCCATTGATGGATGCGTGGGTTGTTTTCAGTTCTCTGCTACAGGTACAAAAAACACAGCAGTGGACAACCTTGCACATTTGCCTTTGCTCAGTTCCTGCTCCTGGTGGTACAGAGTCTTAGACATGGAGTCTTTGGCCTATGTGAATGTGCACTGGAAACAGTTTGGGGAGTGTGTCCAACTGTTTCACCAGGCAGTCTCATCTCTGCTTCTACTCTTTCTTCCCATAAGCTTGCTGTCTGGTTTTTTTTTTTTGGTACCGGGGATCGAACTTGAGACCTTTTACTTTCGAGGCAGGCACTGGAACCACTGAGCTAAATCCCTGGCTTGCTGTCTATTTTTATAGGTTTTTTTTCTTAAATGAACTTTAGTGCCATTTCCCCAAGTCTGATCAGGCTGTATTTTTGTTTGCTTTTGGTTTTTTTTTTTTTTTTTTTTGTACCAGGGACCAAACTCGGGTCTTTGCGCTTGCGCAGCAGGCAGCGAAACCACTGAGCTAAATCCACGGCCCTGTTTGCTTTTGTTTTTAAGACAGAGCCTCACTATGTAGAGCAGGCTGTCCTTGAACGCACTATGTAGCCCAGGCTGGCCTTGAACTCTAGGCAATCCTCCTGCCTCAGCCTTCTGAGTGCTGGCATTACAGGCGTTCATCATCAGACCCACCTATGTGCCCCCTCCTTCTTCCGAGACGGGGACCCCGCGTGCCTGGCTCCCCTCTTAGGGCTTGCTGGACCCTGGCCTGCTCTGGGACCCCGACCTCGTCACTACTCCACCTGCCCGTCACAGTCTCTGAAGTTGGTCCTTTAAAAGTTCACGTGGAGGGTCGGGGATTTAGCTCAGTGGTTCAGGCACCTGCTGCGCAAGCTCAAGGACCGGAGTTCGATCCCCGGTACCCCCCCCCAAAAAATGTTCATGTGGACTTTTCCACGCTGTCTCCTCCTTCAAGGGCGTCCCGGGCCGCGTGGCCCAGGTCAGACGACAGCCTGTACGTTTGGGTGTCCCTCTTTGGGCCCCTCTGGCCCCGTAGCTGCCTTGCAGGGTGGGGACAGATTCCTGTGCGAATTACGGTCTTCCGGGGCAGGCGGCTCCCTGGGCTCTGGCTCCCTCGTGTGGCAACGATGGGAACTGCAGGGTCCCACGGGCGCCCTCCCGGCGGGGTCCGGCGAGACTGGGGTGGTGAGGCCGGGCTGCCTGTGCTCCCAGTAGCAATAGGCCGGGTCCTCCGCGCTGAGTCCCTGCTTGCGCTGTTTTCTGAGGCTGTCCTCCAAATCGCTTTTCTTTCTGGCAAGAAAGTCGTCTCCTAGAGTCTGGTGTCCTAGAGACCTGGGCTGGTTGCTGTCCCTAGGGACACCCTAGGCCCTGCACAGCCCGCCGAGCCTCCACCAGCTGCAGGGGCTACTGAGCTCGCCTTCCTCTCTCAGCTCTCGGCTGCTTGCTGCTTGCTATGTGTCGCTAAGCAAGCTACCAACCTCTCTGAGTCTCGCCGTCTCCACTGTAAAAATGATGCTTCTGGGCCGGGGATTTAGCTCAGTGGTTCCGCCGCTTGCCTCGCAAGCTCAGGGACCCGAGTTCGATCCCCGGTACCAGAAAAACAAAAACAAAAACAAAAAAAGGAAGGTGCTTCTATGTAGCATTAGCTCCACGGGGTTGTCGAGATGATTAAATGGGAGAGGTAGAGAGCACGGTCTCATAGCCAGAGGGTGTCAGAGCTGTGTGTGAAGGCAGCGAAATAGCGCTGAGCCCTGGGTGGTCCCAGGTCTCTGAGTCAGGGCAGCACAGGGCCCTGAACACCGACTCACTCACTCCGTCTCCTCGGGGTCTGGCTTTCATCCGCAGTTCCTTCCCCTAACATTATTTATCACACTCGCCATCCAGACTTATGAAGTGTGACAGAAAAATACAGTGAATGTTTAAGCTTAAAAATATTATTACAGTAAAAGACACATTGTCACGAATCCTCCTCAAAATCCTTTACCCCAGCATTCTTGCCTCTTTCTGAAGTAGTTGTGAAGTCCTCTCTCAGGAGTGTCTTTAGTTGCACTGTTGTGGCTGCCTTGATGTCCTGAATCCATCAAAATGTTTCCCTTTCATGGACATTTTGACTGTGGGGAAGAGCTGAAAGTCACACAGTGCCGGATCTGGTGAACAGGATGGGTGAGGACACAGCGTCATGTTTAACCAGCCTGCCTTTGTGTTGGATTGCATTCTGCAGCGGCATTCACCATATATTTTTTTTTTTTTGGTACTGGGATCAAACTTGAGTCCTTGTGCTTCTGCAGCAGGCAGCAAAACCACTGAGCTAAATCCCCGACTCACCATTCACCACATTTTTGATGACACTTTGTAAAGACCCCCCCCCCCGCCCCCGCGCCGGAAAGAGGACTTCCACAGCTGCTTCAGAAAGTGGTAAGAACAGCTGGGCATGGTGGTGGGAGTTCAAGGCCAGCCTGAAATGGAGAGCAAGGCACTGTCCCCCGGCTGTCCCCGCCAAAAAAAGTGGCAAGAATGCTGGGATATTTTCAAAATGAGGAATATTTTGAGGGGAATTAATGATGATGTACCTTTCCTTGCAATATACTTAAAAAATTTTAATGCACATGGCATTTTTCCATCAGCCCTTGTATTTTCTTTCTTTTTTTAAAAAAAGGTATTTATTTATTTATTTAGGAACCAGGAATCAAACTCAGGACCTTGAGCTTTCAAAGCAGGCAGAGGCATCACTGAGCTAAACCCCCATCCCTGGCCCTTATATTTTCTTACAGAGACAGAAGGAGAACCTCATCTGGGTTGCGCATGACCCAGCCCTGGGCTCCTGCGGCCCCTTCCTCTCCTTTGGGTGGGCGACTCTGTGTGGGCCGCTCCCTCCCATCCCCATCAAGCTGTGGCTCAGTCCTGCTCCATTCAGGGGCTGCCCACTGCCCCTTTCAGCCCCATGTGGCTGGGACCTTCTGCCACTTTCTCTGCCCCAGATGCTCTGGGCCTCCCTGAGCTTCTCCCTTGAGACTCCTTCAAGCAGAGGGGAGACCTGGGCAATGTCCTCCTCCACTTTTTTTTTTTTTTTGTACCGGAGATCGAACTTGGGTCCTTGCGCTTGCGAAGCAGGCACCGGAACCACTGAGCTAAATCCCCAGCCCAAACCTAGGCAATGCCTAGTGGCCGCACGTGCGCGCAGGACAAGCACGTATCTCCCCCACCCCACCTGTGTGCACCCTCTGTCCTTCGTCAGAATAGACAATGAGTGAGTTGCAAGGCCAGCTTCGGAGGAAGGACTGTGGGATTGTGGATGTGTTGTCCTGTCAGAGTCCTCCTAGCTGGCTCCTTTCTTGGGGTCCAGATGTCTGGGACCCCACTATCCTGAAATCTACAGGCTAGAGAAAAACATCCACATGGGTCTGAAATAAGACTTTTTCTGATCTGTTGAATGCATCTTTGCAAACTGTTGTTTTGTGTGCATGCGTTTTAGATATTTCTAGTATTCTGCCATGGCTGTGTTTCCTCGAAGCCACAGGCGATTGTATCCGTGTTGCCATGAATACCCTTGGTCCCTGGCCTTCGATGCCTCCTGTGCCGCAGTTTACCCATCTGCCTTCCCAGGGATGGGCTCACAGGTAGTCTCCAACTCCCGACAACCACGAAACAACACAGCAACTGACACCCAGGACATGTCCCTTCGTGGGCCTGAAAGAAAATTTGGGGTGCATATATGCAAGAGCTGCATTGTAGGGTCACATTGCCCTAAGGTGAATTTCCTCAGCCCGAGGCTGTTACTTGACTTTCTAATTTTATCGTATTTTGGGGGGGGGGGCATTGGGGATAGAAATCAGGGCCTTTGCACTGAGCTACATCCTCAGCTCATTTTTTATTTTTTGGGATAGGGCCTTGGCTAAGTTGTTAAATTGCTTAGACTGGGTTTGAACTTGGGATCCTCCTGCCTCAGCCTCCCAGAGTGCTGGGATTACAGGCCTGCACCAAGGGGGTTGGCCATGGCTTTCTAATTTAAAAAAAAAAAAAACAGTTTCATTGTTGTAGGCGACAGCTCACTGGCATTTTAACCGTTTTTTTCTGATCACAAGTGACCCTAACCTCCTTTCCTGCGCTTGGTTGGCTTGCAGGCCTGCGGAGACTGCTCATAGGCCTAGGGGGTCTGACTTTTTGCTCCTGGGGGCTGGGGACCAAGGGCACTGAGTCCCCCGGTGGGAGGGGCTGCCAGGGCCTCGAGGCTGGGCCAGGTGGGCGGACGCTCACAGGGGACCCGCTGGACGCTGGGGCGCGTAGGTCGGGGCGGAAGAGGAGCCTGGGTCTGGAGCCAGTGGAGCCGCCGCCGCCGCCGCCGCCGAGGAGGCCGAGCCGCTGCGTTCCCAGCCGGTGGGGACCGAGGGGCACCGGATGGAGGCGGCGCTGACGTGCGACACCCAGGGCAGTGAGTGCGCGGGGGGCGGGGAGGGGGTGAGGCTTGAGGAGCACGGACCCTGGCTGCACATCTGGGTGTCGCGTCCCCCGGGGGCTGCGGAGAGGAGGCAAGAAAGAGGATCGCGATAGCATCCTCGCTGAGCCTTGCTGGAGCAGGGCGACCAGCGCTGCAGCCCTGCAGGTGGGACCTGTTGTTATCTCCATTTTGCGGGGGGGGGAGGGGGGGCGCGGCCAAGCGGAAGAGACGCTGAAGCCCAGCCCCCCACCCCGTGTTGGTCAGGGGCCCCCTGAAGCCTGGGGCAGGGGCACTGTGCCCGCCCCAAGTGGGCCGACTGCTTCCCCCGAGCTCTCAGCCAGTTGCTGGTGCCAGGGCCCTCAGAGGGGACCCTGCATCCGGTGGGTGGCAGCTGGTCTGGGGCGCTTTGGGTGCTCTGCCGGGGAGAGAGGAGAGGCCAGAGGCCGCAGTGTGGGTGCCTATGGCGAGTCCTCCATCCTGCACCCCTGACAGCTGAGCCCAGGGCTCCCCCCAAGTCCCAGTGTGCAGTCACTCACTGAGTGTCCAAAATGCCCAAGCAAGCAAAGTGCATCTCCTCCTTGAGGGATGGTGTTGGGGGTGGCCGGCTCCATCACCTGCTGACGGTTCCCAAGGGGGTACAGGGTTCTGCCTGAGGCCGGGGGTCCCTGAGAGGCAGTCTCAGGTCAGGGAAGCCTCAAGTTAAAGGAACAAACAGCAGAGGTGCCTGGGAGCGTGGAGGGAACTGTGGGCAGAGAACCCAGCTTGGGTAAAGGCTCTGGGCCAGAGCGCGAAGCTGGGGCCTGGGATGGCAGGGAGGAGACAGGCAGGCTCTGAGCAGCGGCTGCTTGCTCCCCTGGGACCTGAGTCCTTTGCCAACACAGGCTGCCCCCAGGCTTTAGCTGCGATAGCGGGTGTCAGAATCCTGTAGTCGCCCTCCTGGAGTTTTACAACCAAGGAAACTGAGACCCGAAAGAGGGATGTGCCTAGCTCCTGCTGCAGGAGACTGGCAAAGCTCTTCTGAACCTGGATTGGCGTGGTTTTCAGGCAAAGGGGTAAGGAAAAGCACAGGACAAGCCAGGCTGGTGGCATGCATGAGTAGTTTTAGCATTCTGGAGACTGAGTCCATAATATTGAGAGTTTGAAACTGGCCTGGGGAATTTAAGAGAGAGCCTGTCTCAAAATAAAAAGGACAGGAGTGGAGCTCAGTGGTAGAGTGCCCCTGGGTTTGAACTGCAGTACTGGGAGAGGGAGATCAAAAGCACAGGACACATGCTTACTGCAGGGAGTTGGATTGGAAAGGGGCTCTTTTTGTTTGTTTGGTTTTATATTTTGAGACGTCTTGATTCGTAGCTCAGGCTAGGTTTGAACTCACTTTGTAGCTCGGCCAGGCTGGCCTTGAACTTGTAAGGGTCCTTCTGCCTCAGCCTCTCAAGCGCTGGGATCACAGGCGTGTGCCACCACACCCGGCTGAGAGGGGCTCTTTTAGAGCCTGCTGTGTTCAGAAGTTTCCTTTCCTCACCTTCAGGTTAAGCAGACGCCTTGGGGGAGTACAGGCAGGGCTACCAGTGGGGACCACTCCAGAAGCCGCCCTCCCCTGAACCGGGGCTCCAAAGTTGCTTCCCCTTGGAACCTCTTTCCTGCCATTTCCTGGAGCTTCAATTTAACTTTTCTAGGGGCCTTGTGGGCCTCAATTGGAGCAGCATATGACGGTTCAAATCCCCATCCCAGGAGCTGAATGAGTTGCAATAATGAGTTGCTTATTTATTCAACAGGTAGGTGCTGAGGCACAGATTTGGGAAAAATGCAGGTAACAAATCAGACAAAAGTCCCTCTTCTTGTGAGCTTGTGTAGAATGGAGCAAGCAGACAATATGCCTATGTAAATAGTATGTATGCTGTAGCATCTGCGGAAACACAATGCAGGGCCAGAGGAGGAGAGAGTGTGTGTCCCTGGGCTTCGATGGCTTGGGGCCCCCTCGAGGTGAAGGAGGCCTCAACATCCCCAGCTCTGTGCCCAACAAAATTTGTTCCCTAACTCTTGACCCTGCAGTAGGAGTAGTAGTCGTTCGGGTGCCCTATTTCTAATCATTATAATAACTCTCCTCCTCTTGCAAATGAGGAAACTGAGGCAGCCCCTAAATAGGTAACCTGAGGTACACAGGCAGGAGGAAATGGTTCAGCGTCACATGGGCCTGCGACACCAGGTTGTATCCAGGAAGCCCTGGATCCTCTTCCACATGTGGGAAAGCAAACAGCATCGCAGCTCTGTTACTTGGGTCATCATGGCCTTCGCTGCCAAGACCCTGGCCACCTGGGCCTGGACACACAGGGCTGGGTGCAGCCATTCACAGTGGCCGACCTGCAGGGCGTGGGGCTGGCAGCAATGAGGGCGCGAGATGACCCGCCCTGAAGTGACTGCAAAGGGCCGGCAAATACTGGCCCTGGGTGCCACTTGAGTCTGAGTCCTGTCTCCTCTGGCCTTGCTCTGGGCTGAACCACAGGAAGCCTGGCTGGTTCGCCTGGAACCCAGCGATGCAGAAGCTGGTTCCTGACCCCCTCGATAAAGCTGCTCTGGAAAAGTGTGGGGGACTCTTTCCCTCACCCCATACCCGCTTTCCTCAGTGCTTCCCCTGGAGATACAGCTACACGAGGCCGCCCGGCGGAACCAGGTTGGGAGGATGAAGGAGCTGATCGCAAGGAAGGTTAACGTCCGGGTCAGAAACCATGTAAGTCATGGCTCCCGCGCAGGGAAGGCCTTGTGGCCCATCTGAAAGGTACACCCGAAGGACACACACTGGGGCTGGAGTGTTGGAGTGGTGCCTGTGGGGGTGACCCAGGGGCTGGGGACCAAGAGAGGCTGGAATCTGAGACTCAGCAGGTGTGGCAGCGACTTGGCTCAGCACCCAGACAACCATAGGAGGGAAGCTCAGTGAGCCCAGGTGCTCCCCCAGCCGAGGGAAGTTCCTGGGGGCAGGGGCCGCTGCTCAGCTAGGGGAAGGGACAGAGGGAGAAGCCATTGCTTCTGGGGGCCAGCGATACTGGGGATAAGCATGGTCAGGAACTTCCTGGGGGCTGTGGCCAGCTGGTGGGAAGGGTTGCATGCAGGGCTCCTGAAGGCGGCAGGGGCTGTGTTGGCTGGGGTAACAGGACAGGGCTGCAGCAGCGACCTCCGAGCCTGTCTGGGGCTGGCAGGAGGGACAGGAGTTCTGGATGTGTCTGGGTTCAGAGCACTGTGCACCTGCTTGCTGGTGGCCCCTGCTCAGCCTGGAGAGGCCAGGAGGCCAGGAAGTATCAGCGCTGCACATAGCCCAGGCAGGCACAGCAGGAATCGTGGGTCATGTTAGGTCACAGTGCACTGTTGGGGACTGAAGCCTTGGTCTTGACTCCTGGAAGCATCTGCTAGAAAGCACAGCCTTGCAGGATGACAGGGTGGGGATTCCACATTTGTGCCTTCATTCACACACTCACAGCTCTTGCACTGTCTCCAAGTGCTCGGTGCCCGGCACTGCACTTCTGGCTGGGGACAGAACAGACCCTCAGACATGGCCCCTGCCCTCTTGGTGGCCTGGTTGTAGGGATGGGCATTATGCAGAGTCTTACAGTCCATTGTCATAGGAGCACGTGGACGGGTCAGAGCTTCCAGGAAGCCAGGGGAAGAAGGGCTGTGGTCCAGGCAGAAGGAACAGCATAGGCAGAGACCCCGAGGGAGGAAGGAACAGCGGGTACCTGGAGCAAGGACATGACTTGCCTGAGACCACACAGAGAATCAGTTTCCTTCCATTGCCCACTCCTAAGCTGACAAGTTCACAGGGCAGAAGCAGGCTGGCTTCTTCCCTGGTCACTCAAATGTCGAAAGGGCCAGTGGTCATGATGAATGAGTAGAGAGGCTCAAGACAAGGCGGGTGGTCAGCTTCTCAGGTGTCCCCTGGGGACTTGGAGAATAATTGTAGGCCACAGGTGGCTGCCAGGCAGAAACAAAGGTCTAGAGGTAGGAAGTTGGTTGGCCCTTTCTTTTTGGTGGTAGTACTGGGGATTGGACCAGGGCCTTTGCACTGAGCTACATCCTCAGCCCTTTTTTTTTGGTACTGGGGATCGAACTTGGGACCTTGCGCTTGCAGGGTAGGTGGCAGAACCACTGAGCTAAATCCCCGGCGACCCTTTTTATTTTTATTTTGAGAAAGGGTCTCACTGAGTTGCCCAGGCTGGAGTCCAACTTGGGATTCTCCTGCCTCAGCCTCCCAGAGTACTGGGATCACAGGTGGGAGCCACCACATCCTGCTGTTTGGCCCTTCTGAGAAGCATGGTGGGCAGTGACAGGCTATGCAGAGCCTCGAAAGACCTGGGTTGAGCAGCTTGTCCCAAGGGCAGAGGCCCTGGCACCTGCAGGGTAGCTGTCCTGGTTGGAGGGTGTGGGCGGCCGGCTGTAGCAGGTGCAGTGACGCGGTCCCTGTCCCTGCAGGTGGGCAGAGTGGCCCTGCACTGGGCTGCTGGCGCAGGTCATGAGCAGGCTGTGCGGCTGCTCCTGGAGCATGGGGCGTCTGTGGACGATGCGGATGCGGTAGGCGGCTTGCGGAGGCCTGTGTGTGGGGGTGTCTGTCTGTGTGTCTCTGGACAGGGTAGAGGTGCCCGATGTCTCTGGGCTCACGAGCCTGTTGTTGAGACTGTCGCTGGTACAGAGGTGCCGGGCACAGGCTGGCGGAGAGTCCGTTGTTAGGGGCTAGGGACAGCGCTCTGATCCCGCTTTCCCTGGCGTGGTACTAAAAAGCTCTCTGTGAGCAGGGCCTCTCTGTTCTGAGAGACTTTTCAGTCCCTTGTGGTATCAGGTGAACAAGGGGCACCGTGGGCTGCAGAACGGATAATTGGGTGGATGGATAAAGGCCTGGCAGGGAGTCACCAGCAGCAAGGTGTCTCCTAATAGGCACAGGGCTCTGTCCTGGCCCACACAGAATCAAAACTGCCACGGAGACCATTATACTGAGCAAACCTCAGACAGAGTGAGCACTGAAGACAGGGTCTGCGGCATCGACTCTGCCAGCCAGGCGTGGTGTTGCACACCTGTGATCCCAGCACTCTGGGAAGCTGAGGCAGGAGGATTCTAAATGCGAGCCCAGCCTGGGCAATTTAGCAAGATCTTGTCTCAAAATTAAAAAAAAAAATAGGCTTGGGGATGTAGCTCAGTGCAAAGTCTCTGGATTTTATCCTCAGTATTGGAAAAGGAAAAAAAAAAAGTGGCTGTACAGGTTTGGGAACAGGGGTGAATCTGACAGTGATATTTGATAAAGATACATTCTAAAAATCTTGGGCTGGGGATTTAGCTCAGTGGTGCCATGCCTGCTTGGCAAGCACAAGTCCTGAGTTTGATCCCCTGAACAATAACAAAAAATCTAAATTTAGGCTTAGAAGAGTATAGCTCAATGGCAGAGAGCTTGTCTAGCATGTATGAGGCCCTGGGTTTGATTCCCAGCACTGGGCACACACGCGCGCACGCGCGCACACACACACACACACACACACACACAATCTAAATTAAAAAAATAATTTTTCATGGCCTGGGATTTAACTCAGTGGTTCCGTCGCCTGCCTCACAAGCAGAAGGACCCGAGTTCAATCCCCGGTACCAAAAAATAATAATAATAATTTTTCAGTACTGGGGATTGAACTCAGAGCCTTTTGATCGAGCTACATCCCCATCTCTCTTTATTTTAAGACAGGGTCTTATTAAATCCTTAAATTGCCAAGGCTGGGCTCAAATTTGCCATTCTCCTGCTTCAGCCTCCCATATAACTGGGATTACAGCCATGCACTACCACACTCAGGTCCTAATTTAAAAAAAAATTATAAACTCCTGGCAGAGACTTAGTTGCTCCTGAAAATACTTTTTGTTGTTGTTTTTGTTTTTGTACTGGGATTGAACTCGGGACCTTGCACTTGTGAGGCAGGCACTGGAACCGCTGAGCTAAATCCCCAGCTGTGAAAATACTTTTTGTTCTGGCTTCTCCCTGCTTCGGGGCCCCACCATGAGGAGGGGTTGATTACTAGTTGTGGTTGGGATGGGGCAGCAATCCTCGCCTCTGTGCAACCTGGCCCCATCTGCCAGGAGAGACCCAAGAGGCCTGAGGGTGGGGCTGGCCTAGGTGGCCAGCTCCTCCACGGCTGAGGCTGAAGTGCAGCAAGGGGACCACTGCGGCCTTATGAGGTACAGGTGCTGCAGACCACAGCCATCACCTGTAGGATGTTCTGAGGGTGATATCAACAGTGATTCTCAGCCAGGCGCAATGGCACATGCCTATGATCCCAGCATTTGGAAGGCTGAGGCAGAAGGATCACTCCAAGTCTGAGGCCAACCTGGGCTACAGAGTGAGTTCCAGGCTAGCCTGACTCAAAAAAAAAAAATCAAGGGGATTTAGCTCCGTGGTTTTGCCCCCTGCCTCGAAAGCACAGGACCCGAGTTTGATCCCTGGTACCAAAAAAAATTCAAGGGCTGGGGATTTAGCTCAGTGATGCCGCTGCCTGCCTTGCGAGCACAAGGTTCTGAGTTCGATCCCCAGTACCAAAAAACCCCAAAACACTAAACCAAATATAACTAAAGATTCTCAGACCAGGGCAAGGTCTTTACCAGTCAGAAAGTATAGACAATGTCCTGCGCTTTTCTTTTCTTTCTATTTTGTTTCTTCTTTCGGTGCTGGGGATAGAATCTAGGGCCTCCTGCATGCCAGGCAAATGCTCAACCACTGAGCCACACCCCCAGACCCATAGCATGTTTCTCATGAAGTTTATTTGTAAAGAATAAATTCTGAAATTGGTTCCTTCCAATTTTCTTGTTTTAACATGATCGTTCTTTATGAAATAATGATGAGGATGGCAGCTCTTTTATCTTTAGGTTTCATCTAACAACAACAAATCTGCAATAGTCTGTCATTCTCTATTAATCAAACAACTTAATGGTGTCTAGATTCCTAAGGCTTGGCACTCCTTTGCGATTGTGGCTTGGCCTTGTAGAAATAGGGCCCAGGCCCTGCCTCCTCACCCCCCCCCCCCGTCCTCTCCCCCAGTTTGGAATGAACGCGATTCTCCTGTCTGCCTGGTTCGGCCACTTGCAGGTCCTCCAGATCCTGGTCAACTCTGGAGCCAAGATCCACTGTGAGAACAAGGTAAGGCATCAGCCCGAGGCCCTGGCCCCTCTGCTCCCCGGCCCTGGATGGATGGGTCTGTACCCCCATACCCTGCTCTCGCTCCCCGCCCCCTGCCTCTGCCCTCTGACTTACCTGCCCACGGAGAACCCTTCTCAACCCTGTGGTGCTCAGCCCTGTGACGCTGCCTCTCCCTCGGCTTCCCTGGGCTGGGACAGCAGGAGGACAGCCTGTGTGTACTGCTCTGTGATGTTGGAATGCTGCCCAGCTCTCTAGTCAGTCTCCTGGCTAACAAAAGAGAAATTGGCATAATGCCCAGTAGGTCTCCTATGTTCTGCCAGGCTCTGCTCCCACCCCCTGCTCAGTGTGGCGGGGTACAAGGGCCATGGCCTCACTTACCAGCCCTAGGACCGTGAGTTACTCTATCATTCCAAGCCTCAATTTCCCTCTTTGGAAATGGGATGCTCATACCTGCCTTAGGGCACTGGGAGAAGTCAGTGCTGTGTGTGATGTCTGGGCTGGGTGCTGGTGCCTTAGGAAGCCTGGTATCCCTTGCTGCTCAGTGGGGAGTGTGCAGTCTGAGGGAGTAGGCCCCAGCAAGTCACAGTGCCTGGGACCCCTCCACTGGTGTCTCACTTTTTTTGAGGGGTGCGGTTCTGAGCCAGACTCTCACTGTGTAGTTCAGGCTGGCCTGGAATTTACTATGTAGCCAGGCTGGCCTGGAACTCATGGTGAGCCTTCTGCCTCAGCCTCCCAAGTGCTGGAATTATAGGTATGCACCACCATGTCTGGTCATGTCAAGTTTTAAAATTATTTTTTAATTTATAAAATATTTTCCTATAGGCAATCTTTTAGCTCCTGCTGAAGCAGTCAGGATTATTGTCCTAACTGGACCTGGGCGGAGGACCTGGGCGGAGAGGGAGCAAAGGAACCAGGCCCAGGGGCACAGAGCTGAGGGGTGGGAAGGAGCTGGGCTTTTCATCCTGGCTCCTCCTATGCAGTGTTGTGTGGGGAGTGTCCTGGGGAAGGGAGTGTGCCCATGAGAAGGGCCTCCCTTTGCTTCCAGGACGGCCTGGCCTTACTGCACTGTGCAGCCCTGAGAGGCCACATGCCTGTGCTGGCGTTCATGATGGAGGACCTGGAGGACGTGGCCCTTGATCACCGGGACAAGGTGAGGCCTACCCCTTGGCTGGGATGCCTGGGCCACTCTTGCGCATGCCTGGAGGGCATCCTCTAGTCGCGCATGCGCAGAGTGGTGTTCTACTTGCTCCCTGGTCCGGAGGGGAAGGTTACGGTGCAGACAGGGGGATGCAAGCAGCGCAAGATCAGGTGCCTGGGAGAAGACCTGGCCAAGGACTGGCCAAGCTGGAGAAGGGAGCACTGCTTTCTGCCTCGTGGGAGGTGGCATGTGTGAAGGAACTGGATTTGGGGAAGATGGGACAGGACTGGGAGCACCGCTGGAGCCTGGGGTGGGGTGAAGGGCTCTGTGGTTGGGAATTAATCTGCAGGGAGGCCAGAGGGGTTTGGGGCCCTTATGGAGATGTCCACTCGACTTCAGAAACTCTATCAGTCAGGAGGCATCGGGTCAGGGCACCCTCCAAATGGCTGTTGTTGGGAAGTAGGGTCTGGGCTTTCCAGGCAGGGTGTGTGGGGTGAGGGCCATGTGGGGAGTGTCCGGGGCTGGTGAGCCCAGAGCTGTGGAGAAACAGGGCCTGGGAGTGCAGGGCGTGCGCCCACTGGTCGGGTGAGGAGAGCTTACTGGCTTTCTCTTCCTGGTCAGCGGGGCAGAACGGCGTTTCACAAGGCTGCTGAGCACGGACAGCTGGAGGCTCTGGACTTCCTCGTGGGCTCGGGCTGTGACCACAGTGTCAGAGATAAGGTACTGAGACCGGAAGTCTCTGGGTTCCTGAGACTGGTATCTCGCCCGTGCCTACTTCTGACTGCAGCTGTGCTGGAGGGGCCAGTGCCCAAGACCAGGAGTGTGTATGATGTTCCCAGCAGGGGCTGTGGTTGGTAGCACAAAGATTCCCAAGATGTAGGTTTTCTACATCTAGAAATCCACACCATGAGCCTAGGAAAGAACTGGGGCCCGATGAACTTGCAGCTGTCCTTCTGCCTCGGCCTCCTGAGTGATGGAATAGCAGGTGTGCTCCACCATGCCAGGCAAGGAAAGGTGTGTTTTGGCTCATGGTTAGGAGGTTTCAGTCCATGAGAAGCTGGCTCCATTGCTTTTAGGCCTGTGGTGAGGCACAGGAGGAAAGCAGCTCACTCCATGCAAGAAGCCCCTTCTGGGGCATCCTCCTTCAATGAGATCCCACTGACTAGATTTCATTGCCTCCTAGCAGCTCATGAACCCACTGATGGGTTGATCCTTATGAGCCACTCCTGTCCCCAGAGTCCCCAACATTGAACATTGCTGCTCTGGAGACCAAGCCTTCAGCACATGAGCCTTTTGGAGGACATTTTAGATCCGAGCACACCGGGAAGATCTGGGCTACCTGAGGAGGGACACTTTGGGTGGGCACATGGAAAGTGGGGTCTGTTTTATTTTGAAAGTAACTTGTCTGTCTTGCAGTATAAGGAAAGAGGGACCTGGGTGTGACCTTGGAAGAGCTGCTTGTAGTTTTGGGAACAGTGCTTGGGGGCAGGGTAGCGTTTGTCACAGGATTGCTCTGTGAGCATGGACATGTCATTTCCGCTCCCTGCGCCTCGGCTTTATGGTCTAAGAAGTGGTGCTGGTGGATCCCGGAGGCTCTGCATCCGGGGCTCCGGGTCTGCTGGCCCTCAGGTGCGATCCTCCCGCAGGAGGGGAACACAGCTCTTCACCTGGCTGCTGGCCAGGGCCACACAGCAGTGCTGCAGCGACTCGTGGACATCGGGCTGGACCTAGAGGAGCAGAATGCCGTGAGTTAACAGCCTGCGGGGAGGGAAGCTCCCCATCTTTGAGGAGCCCCACCTGTGGGGTGGTCTGGTTTCCCCTGGCTGCAGCCTTGGAACCTGGAAGTTGAGGTTGCCTCTCAGGCTGACACCTGCAGGCAAAGATCACAAGCTGCCAGAACCCGAGCTGAGTGAGTCGAGGGGTACAGGATGAGTGTCCCACAGGGGGAGAATTTGAGGGACCAGGTCGGCCAGGGAGTAGAGGAGAGTGAGGCTGGAAAGACAGGAGAGCGTGGAGAGCCAGGCCAGGAGCTTAGCACAGGGACACGTCCTCACCTGGCTTTTCCTCACACCCTTCCCGTGTGTTTCAGGAAGGCCTCACGGCCCTGCATGCGGCTGCTGAAGGAACCCACCCAGATTGCGTGCAGCGCCTGCTCGGTGCAGGGAGCCACGTGAATGCCCTCACCCAGGTAGGCGCACCTCCCAGGGCTGATGTCTGCCCAGCGTGCGGAGCCATGACTGTCGCAGAAGCAGCCATAGCAGTTGCTGAGCGTTCGTGAGCAGAGCCTCTGAGGCTGCAGAGCCACACTTTGTGTGGGCTTCTGCACGGCTGAGCTCTGTGATCTTGGGCACCTTGCTTACCCTCTCAGCCTTGTTTCCCAACTATGAAATGGGATGATGTATGCACAGAATCTTGCTGTGCAGTTCAGGCTGGTCTGGAACTCGGTGATCTTCCTGCCTCAGCTTCCAGAGTGCTGGGGTTATAGGCTGCATCACCACACTTGGCTCCATGTGTTTTTTAAGTTTTTGGGTATATGTTTGCAATACACATTACAGTCTTTTTTTTTTGGTATGGGGGATCGAACTTGGGACCTTGCGCTTGTGAGGCAGGTGTCACACATTACTGTCTTTTTATTACTGGGCTCCAAGTAGTTTACAAAGCCCCCTCTTAACTATTACCTTGGGAAATGTCTCCCATTTTGTAGATGGGAAAACTGAAGCTTAGAAGGCTTTTCTCATAACTAAGAACAAGCAAAGCTGAGTCTCAAATTCCCGTTCTCCCAACTCCAGAGCTCCTGCTCACTGACAGGAGCATTCCCAGCTATGGGGACAGGTTGGGGCGGCTGCACCTGGCAAGGGCTCTTCCTGCTTCTTCTTTTGGCAGAGAGGTAGAGGGGTAAGTGAGAGGGGCAGAACGGACAAAACAAAGCCGGGAGGAGTGATGGTGCAGGTCTGAAACCCCAGTGCTCTGGGAGGTTGAGGCAGGAGGACTGCAAGTTGGAGCCCAGCCTGGGCAATTTAGTGACTTAGGGAGACCCTGTCTGAAAATAAATATAAAAAAGGGCTGGGGAGATAGCTCAGTGTGGAGGCCCTGGGTTTGATCCCCCATTACTGAAAGGAAGGAAGGAAGAAAGGAAAGGAAAGGAGAAAGAAAGAAAGGAAGAAAAGAAAGAAAGAAAAAAGAGAGAGAGGCAAAACATGAAGGTAGCTTTGCTTTTTTACAGTCGCTCTCGTGATAACCCAGGCCCGTGAGGAAGGCCTCTTAGCCACCTTATGGGTCCCACCTCCCAGGGCCACATGGTGGCAATTAAATTTCAACACGAGCTTCTCCGGGGACAGCCACATACAAACTGTAGCCCCAGAAATGCGAATAGTGCTTTTTAAGTCGCAAAACTCATGGTTTGCAGAACTTCACTGGCAGTGTGGGAACTGTGACCCCAGGAAGCTGCAGGGGCACTGAGGCCCAGAGGGGCAGGAGCTGCGTCAGGGCACCCAGCTCATGCCCTTGCGTTGGCGTGGCATTGCTCTTGGGCATGAGGCCCTTGGATGTGCCCAGCCCCGCATGGGTCCCTCACTGTAACAGCGAGAGGCATTTGGAGAGGCGGGGTATGTGTTTGGGTGGCCTTGGTGGGGCTGCAGCTGCACACCGCACTGGGCCTTGTGCTGGAGCCAACACCTTGGAGTGTTGAACAGTGGGGTCTCTGAGGAGGGGACCAGTCCTGCATGACTGCATTTCCCCTGGCAGGTGGACTGACTCAGATGGGATCTTGGTCTGGTGACCAACTCATCCATCATCCCGTGTTCCCCATAATTGTCCTGGTTTAAAATGAAAAGTGTCAACTGGGTGTGGTGGCATATGCCTGTAACCCCAGCATTTGGCAGGCTGAGGCAGGAGGATTGTTGAGACCAGCCTGGGCTACATAGTGAGTTCAAGGCCAGCCAGAGCTGCATAGCAAGATCCCGTCTCCAAAAACCAACAACAACAACAAAGAGGAAAGTCTTATGTTTCAGCGATGCCTAGCCTGACACACTGAGACCCCTGGGCCCAGGTTGGGTCTCCTGAAGCGGAGCACCCGGGTGTCACCATCAAGCCCTGGGCTTCAGCCTGCAGCCCCTGCCTGGCCTTACCGATGCCTGGCTCTACCTGGGCAGGGTGCCAGCTGGCGCTTAGGCTTGGCCAGTCTGATTTGCCCCTTTCTGAAACCATCTCCTCAGTCATCTATATTCTGCTACTTACCTGCCAGAGAGGTGGCAAATTGTGGTCTACACCCCAGTCTGACATGAGGTGAGGAAAAGGCTGGGATCACGGTGGACCCCAGGCCTGGGATGGCTCTGATTTCCCCAGTGCCAGGGGGTCCTGAGAAGTCCACAGTGGCGGGACAGCCCCACCACGAGAGGTCCCTGTGACCTTGCACTTATGCCTCTTTCCTGCTAGAAGAAGATGAGCTGCCTCCACTATGCGGCCCTCAGTGGCTCTGAGGCTGTGTGCCAGGCCCTCATCCGTGCAGGAGGGTGCACCAATGTGGCTGACTACGTAAGTGCATAAGTAAGTGCAGTGCCCAGACTGAAGGGCACCCCTTGCAGGGCTCCCAGAACTTTGGGCCCTTGGGGTGGGGTGGGGCCAGGACTAGGAGCTGGAGTTGAAGCCAGCCTTGCACTGTCTCCCAGCTGAGTTACCTGCGTGTTCCCTGCTCATTTAGGTAGCAGGTCTTAGCAGTAATCCTTTATATAACCAGTCTGGCCCCTTAGTTGTTAATTTTTTCTGGTTAGGATACATTTGGAAAGCTGCTTTGATCTCCCTGCCTCTGTGTAGGCATTACAGGAATTATTATTCTTCCCATTATAGAAATTAAGGAATGTCTATTTTTTAATTAATGTGGGATTTAAAAATTTTTTGTGTGTGTGGTACTGGGGATTGAACCCAGGGAGTGCTGAGCTACATCGTCTGCCCTTTTCAGTTTTATTTTTTATTTTAAGTCAGAGTCTCTCTAAGGTGTCCAGGCTAGGCTTGAACTTGTGATCCTCCTGCCTCTGCCTCCTAAGTAGCTAGCAGTACTGTGTTAAGCACCTGGCCTAACATTTCTTAATAGATACTGGGTGTAAAGTCCACTAAGATATGGTCCCCTGAGCTGTGTGTCATTGGGCGAGTTGCTTGGGTTTTCTGGGTTCAGTGTTTCTGTTTGTCAGGTGAAGATACTCGTAAGAATGCATACCTTCCCTGTGCACTTTCTAGCTCATGTGTGGATTAAATGAGAGAATCTGTAGGTGACATTGCTGAAGGCACCTTAGCAATTATCACTTGCCAGATGAAAAGTAGCCGAGGGCCAAAAATGGCTTGTTCAGGGTCACCCAGTGAGCATGTGTGTAAGACCGGCACAGCAGGGTCTTAACCTTGGGTATGCAGAGCCCCATGTACCTGGAGGATCAGTTTTAGGCTCCAGGGATTTAAGCTCTGTGAAACCTCAGGCCATTCATGTTGTTTGAGATGATGGAAGGGCCAAAGCCAGAAGCACTGTACCCCTCTTGTCCTGCCCCTCTCCCCAAGCAGCAGCTGGGAAGTCCTGAGCCCCCCATCCACTGATCCCTGTGTCTCCCCCCACAGCAGGGGACCTCTCCCCTACACCTTGCCGTGAGGCACAACTTCCCTGCCCTGGTTGAGCTCCTCATCGACGCTCACAGTGACCTGAATGCCATCGACAATGTAAGTGGCTGTGGAAACCATCCAGGCCCCAGGAGCCTCCCGGCCCCCTCCCAGGCTGGCAGGGGATGGCTCAGACTTGGGGAATTCCCTTTTTAGCATTTAAAATATTAATATCAATATTTAATATAAATATAAAATATTAAAGTATAAATACAAATCATTTTATTTTTTGGTTTTTTGGTCTCACTATGTGGTTCAGGCTGTCACTGAGCTCTGTAGCCCAGGCTGGACTGGAACTGAGCAATCCTCCTGCCTCAACCTCCTGTGTGCTGGGATTACAGGCATGGGCACTATGCCCAGCTGCTAGCATCATTTTATTAACCATTCTCCTACATGGAACATTTTGGCTGTCTCCAAGGGTTTGCCATGGTATATGTAACAGTGCAGGAAATGCCTTACTTCAACCTTTTCCTTTCACTGATAATTCTTTTTCCTAGAGAAAATTCTTGGGGTAGGAGTGACAGGGAGATTGTTGTGTAGCAAGATTGCTGAGTCCCTCGTTGTGATCAGTCAGGAGCCCCTTTGAGTCCCCATCTCCATGCTCTGCCACCCTGCCATATCACACAGCACAGCCCACACCCCAGGGGCACAGAGTTTCGTACACCTTTAAAATGATGCATTTGCACTTCTGGGAACTGGGCCTCAAGAAATATCTTAAAAATTCATACACACAGATATTTGTTACAGGCTGGGAAGTGCTCAGTGGGAGGGTGTGGGCTCAGCATGCATGAGGCCCTGGCTCCCACCCCTAGTACCCCTGTCCTCCCCACCCGAATTCCATTTCAATTTCAAGGCCTCAACTTGAAAATGACCCAAGATGATGATCATTATTTTGTGTGTGTGTAGGACTGGGGATTGAGTGGAGTGGGTTTCATTGCGAGCTACATCCCCAGTTCCTTTTTAATTTTTAATTTTGTTTTTTCTTTGGTACTGGAGATTAAACTCGGGACCTTGTGCTTTCAAGGCAGGTGGAACCACTGAGCTAAATCCCCGGCCCTCATTTTTAATTTTGACACAGGGTCTTGCCACATTGCCCAGGCTGGCCTTGAACTTGTGATCCTCCTGTGTCAGCCTCCCAAATAGCTGGGATTACAGGTGTGGACCACCATGCACAGACCAAATATTTAATAATAGAAAAGTGATTAGGTAAATTATGGCACAGAGAGGAATAGGCTATTTCAGAGTTTATAAAAACAGTGTTTGTAGTAAGTGAAAAGTGTTAGGTGGAAAAATAAAATTGGAGGGCTGGGGATTTAGCTCAGTGGTTCCACTGCCTGCCTCACAAGTGCAAGGACCCGAGTTCGATCTCCGGTACCAAAAAACAAAACATAGGGCTGGGATTTAGCTCAGTGGTTCCCCTGCCTGCCTCGCACGCTCAAGGTCTCAAGTTCGATCCCCAGTACCAAAAAAAAAAGAAAGAAAGAAAAATAAAATTGGAAATATATATACAGGATAATCTCAAATATATGAAAAGACTGGAAGATATATACTAGGATCATTATAGATGCTGACTTGGGGTAGTGCATGAGCTAGTCCTCATCTCCCACCCCCTCCTCCTCCTCCTGTTCTTTTTTTCCTCTCGTCTTCTTCCACTTTCATCTTCTCCTCCTCTTCCTTCTCTTTCTCCTCCTCCTCCTCTTCTCCTCCTCCCTCCTATTTTCCTTCTTCCCACTTTTTGTTTTTACCAACTTTCTCTGGTGAGAACTGTTTATGATTAAACCCAGCTCACCCCTGTCCCCCATGGTAGCATCTGACAGATGCTTACAGAAGGGAGTATCCCACCCTGTCCTGCCTGGCTTTGAGCTGCTGGCCATCCCTGTGTGCTCTTCTGTTCACCTCCCCTTGGCTTCTCCCCCAGAGGCAGCAGACACCCCTCCACCTGGCCGCGGAGCACGCCCGGCAGGATGTGGCAGAGATGCTCCTCATTGCGGGGGTTGACCTGAACCTGCGAGATAAGGTACTTGTGCTCCCAGCCAGCGCCCCTCCAAGCGTTCATGGCCCCTCCTTGCCAGAGACCCAGCTACAGTGCCCTCTCCCTCTCAGAGTGTCCGAGACCCTCTCCCCCATCCTTTGTGCTTCAGCCTCCTCCAGGCAGCCTTCCTTTACCTGCCACTCCCCTCTCTCCTCTGAAGTTCCTGTCCTGGTTGAGGCCTGTGCTGAGGTTGCTTCCTGCTTCCTGTGTCACCTGGTGGGGGCCGTGGGGAGTAGCAGGAGGAGTAGCACCTCATACCCAGCACCCCTTTGTCCCGGCTCACTGCGCCTCCGTGGCTGCTTCCTCAGGTGGTTGGAGAGTCTCAGAAGAGCTAAAGGCTTAGGGCTGAAGGCTTGGAATGAGGCTGGAGGTCCCATGCTGTGAGGACAGGATGCTAGCACATACCATTATGAGGCCAGCCTGGGGTGCAGGGCAGAATTGGGGGCCAGATCAGGCTGAACCTGCAAGGAGCTTCCTGCTTGACTGGGCCCCAGGGCAGCTGGCCATGTCACTGCAGGTCCCTGGCAGTGACCTGGGCTTCCTGTGCCTGTAGGGAGGCAGGTGGGTGTGATAGGATGAACCCACACCCCCTTCTTGGGGCGCTGCTTTCTTCTTCTGACTTGGGGTAGGAGGCTCTGTTTCCTTTATCATCTCACAGATAAGGGTGAAGAGTTAACAAGGGCTGAGTTTCATACTCCGTCTAATGCTTCCTAAATCCTAAAGAAATGCAAGAGGTGGCTGCTGGAATTGTTATGGCCTTAATCTACCTGTCACTTTTCCACATCCTTTTTCTGTCATGCCCAGAAAACCATTTTGCTCTCCACTGTAGATACTGGGAATGGTTTCTTTGGTCAGGAGGGTTTGAACTCAGTGCCAGAGGCCACCCTGCACCACTGTGGTAGAAACCCTGGCTTCCCTTCTGCCTCTTACTTGCAGCAAGGGAAAACCGCCCTGGCAGTGGCCGCCCGCAGCAACCACATCACCCTGGTGGACATGATCATAAAAGCTGATCGCCTCTACAGACGGGAGAAGGTATGGAGGACCCACACTCTGGTCTCCACGTTGGGGAGGGAACAGCCTCAGCTCCGGGTGGAGCTGGCTTGGAGTCCCAGCCCTGGCCAGTTCTGGGGCCTCTCAGTCTCCAAGGGGGCTCCAAGGATCTGGAGATGGGCAAGCATCCAGATACACTGGCACAAGAGAGGCTGAGGCCCTGCGCGTGAGGACATGCTGCTGCACACTGCTGTAGCTCCTGGCAGGTGCATGTGTGTGTGTGAGTGTTGACATACACAGGTGAACAAAGAGATGGCAAGTTGGGGCCATCTTACTGCTATCTCCAGGCCATTGGAATTGCTCTTGGGGTGTTGCAGTCATGCACCTTTCTGAGCCTAGAAAGAAAGTGTGACGGGATTGATTGGTGATGTTTGCTATGGATGTGATATAGAAGAGAGGCAGAAGGAGAGTGTGTTGGGATTGATTGGTGATGTCTGCTGTGGACTTGGGATAAGAGGGGCAGACCTTAAGGCTGTACGAGAACTGTTCAACCAGCAATGGAGGTGACTTTTTTGGAGTCCTGGAGGGTGTTTTTATACACAGAAAATTTTTTCATTTACTTTAGTTTTCAAAATTAATATTAAATTTGTTCTGTTGTTGTTGTGAGTATATAGTCTTGCTGTATACTGTAGCCCAGGCTGGCCTTGAACTCTCAGTCTCCTGAGTGCTGGGATTGCAGGCGTGTGCCACCACACCTGGATGGTTTTTTTTTTGGTACTGGGGATCGAACTCGGGACCTTACGCTTTCGAGGCAGGCGGCAGAACCACTGAGCTAAATCCCTGGCCCCACTCCTGGCTGTTATTAAATTTATTAAGTTGCAAATGTATTTTATCTTGAAAATTTAAAAACCTAGTTTTTCTTAAACTTTAAAATTTAATTTGTAGGGCTGGGGATTTAGCTTAGTGGTTTCACCACCTGCCCTGTAAGTGCAAGGATCCGAATTCGATCCCCAGTACCAAAAAAAAAAAAAATTTAATTTGTAAATTTTATTATGTCATTTATATGACAGGTATTTTTTTTGTGTGTAATCAGGGATCAAACCCAGGGCCTTGAACATGTCAGGCAAGTATTCTACCACTGAGCTACCCACACTCCCAGCCTACTACTAATAACAGTGAACAATCACATTTGGAGAAGCCTTTTGATGAATATTTGGTCCCATGTTTAATCTAGTTAATTAAACTATCTTAAACATTTTACACTGAACAAATAACTTTAGTATGATAGATTTAAGTACTTTGAATGGTTTTTGAATTCTTAAATTATTCTGCTAAATCTATTAAATTAAATAAATAATCTCAATTATCTTAAATTGCCTCATGTGGTAGTCCTCACATGTAGTCAGGTTCTTTACCCTTCTCAAAAAAATCACTATTCTAAAATAAATTGATCTGTATTTCAGTAGGAATCACTGAAGAGCAAGACTGTCTTAAACGTTACGGTCCTCTTATCTACAACATATGAACCCTAAATGGAATGCCCTAGCATCAATGCTGAGGGTTTGACTAAGCAACTCATCTCTGCTTAATTCTAAGCCACTTCAGGCTTTACAGTCTCTCAGCACAAAGCAGTGGCTGCACGTGTGAGTCACAGATCTCCCCTCTCTATCCCCAGACCACTTCCATCAGCCCCTCTACGGCAGTGGCCAGGCCTCAATGGTTCCTGAAGCTCCTAGATGGAGTCTTTGCACACAGCCTGAGAACATTGCTTTAAGGGAACGGCTTTTGGCACCCAGGTGAGACCCAAGCTCCTGGGTCCTCACCTCACAGGTGACAGGTCAGAGCCTGTTGATCAAGATGTCAGATTTTGGAGCTGCAGGCACCAGGGTGATATTTTTCACTTTGAACTTTTTAACAGTCAGAATTTTGTACCTGTTCCCTTTCAGAGGGCTTAGGATTTTGTGGGCTTAATTTACTGCAGTTCCCTTTTTTTGGTAACCTCTCATGTTATTGACTGCTTTGCCTAGAAAGGACTCTAACCCACCCTTGTTGGGATTCAGCAAGCCTGACCTTGGCCTGTTTGGTTTGGCCTCAGCTTTGGAGTCATTCTGCTGACAACTGTGCTCTAAAAATGCAAAGAGGAGGGGTAGGGATTTAGTTCAGTGGCGCTGCGCCTGCCTAGCAAGCGCAAGGTCCTGAGTTCGATTCCCGGTACTGAAAAAAAAAATGCAGAGAGGGAAACCTGGTGTGGTGGCGCATGCCTGTATTCCCAGCACTTGGGAAGCTGAGGCAGGAGGACTGCTGTGAGTTTGAAGCCAGCCTGCGCTACATAGTGAGTTCAAGGCCAGCCTGAACTACATAGCGACACCCTGTCTCAAAACCAACAACCAGGCCAGGGATTTAGCTCAGTGGTTTTGCCACCTGCTGCGCAAGCACAAGGACCCAAATTCGATCCCTGGTACCAAAAAAACCCCAACCAAACAAACGAAAAAACCAACAACCAACAATGGACGTATATTCTAGGGTGTAGCTCGGTGGCACAGTGCTTGACCAGCATGCACAAAGCCCTGGGTTTTCTCCTCAGTTCTACAAACAAAACCAAATGAAAACCCCAAGAAATGAGACAGGAGCCTCTGGTCAGAGGAACTGGGAAGGCCTCCTGGGGTAGATGGCATATGGGTGGTCTTTTGACTGTGGCAGTGGGGTTGAAGGGCAGGGAGGTGACAGACAGGACTTGGGGTGGAAGAACACACAGGCAACTTGGGTTCCACAGGTCAAATCAAGGCCTGAGCTGGAACCCAGGATGGTGGATGTTGAGCTGTGGCCCGGGCTGATTGCAGGTCCCAGGCTGCCCGGCACGGGTGGCAGTAGGTAACAGGCTGAGGGAGAGCCTGGGAGAGAGCCCCCCCCCCCAGATGGCTTTGGGACCACCTTTCATGCAGGGGCCCCAGAGACCACCTGGGAAGAGCTTGACCTTCAGGCAGGACCATGGGCAGGAAACGCAGCAGCTGCACTCTGTGCTGTGGCGCCTGGCCTCCAGGCACCTGCGGCCCCACGAGTGGAAGAAGCTGGCGTTCAGCTGGGAGTTCACTGAGGCCCACGTCTCTGCCATCGAGCAGCAGTGGACAGGTATGGCCTTGCTGCACCCCGTCCAGAGCAGCCCGCGTGCAGAGGGGCGGTGGGGGCCCAGCCATCTGTTACCGGGGAAAAGGCGACCCCAGCCCAGCCCCACGCCTGTCATCTTCAGCTCGCCGCGTGGGCCTTCCTCTTCCAGCTTAGCTGGGCACTGCTTCCCCTGCCCCTTCCCGGGGAACTGGGACACTCACGCTGTCACAGCCAGTCCGAGCATCCTCACTGTCACACACGAAAGATTAAACCTAAGCCGCTCCGACCAACACAAAAGGGCCCAATGTTGTGGCTCTTATTTCATATCTACTGGAAATTCTGGCCCTGGCGCTAAGGCATGAAAAAGAAATAGACGTAAGTTGTAAAAATATTGGCCAGGAAGAGAGAGAATTATTAATTTCAGATGTTTTAATTGTATATGTAGAAAGTCCAGGGGAATCCTAAAAAAATTAGAATTACAAAAATTCAAAGAGATTGCTAAGATATACACAAACATATATCATTAACAAATGGGCAAAAATACATGTAGAACTTTTCAAAATATCCCAATAGTGTGCGTTTCATCTGGAAAATTTTCAGGAGACAAATAATGAAAAATATGAGTAAAACATGAAAGTTAATTGAACTATAAAAGAAGATGAGTCAGTGGAATGACATTCTGTTTCTGGTAAGAAGAGGTGTCATGTAGATGCCACTTTTCCCCAGTTAGATTAAAATTTTGATCTAATGTTAATCAGCTCAAAACAGGTTTCTGAAATTGGACCTAAAGATTGCAGTTTGACTGAAAGAATAAACAGAGGTAACATAAATGAATATTTCAGGAAAAAAGAGGATATAATCCAACTAGACTCAACCTTTTATAAGGTTAAAATAACTAACAGAGAGAAACCTGACACAAAAATATGCAAATTATCAGTGGAACTGGGCAGAGTTTCCAAAAGTAAACTCTATTACAGATAAGAATTTGCATGTACGACAAAGGAGCTTGTCAGCTATGGGAATCAGGACAAAGAGTATTTGATAGATGGTGTTGAGACAAAAGGGCCAAAGGGAAATGCCACCAGAGAGGTACGTGGAAAGCTTCAGGAGGCAGAATGGACTGATCTGGCCAGGTATCCACCTGTGTCCAGGCAGGGTACGCTGACCTAGTCCCCACGTTTAAAAACATGTTAATCCCCAGGACTGGGTAGGCTGGGCAGTTGCTTCCCACATGTGGCTGTGTATTGGAATCTGTGCTGTACCCAGACCCCATGCCTCAGAGGCAGGTGCAGAGGTGCCGGGTGCTGGTACCTTCTGCTTCCTCCAGGGTATTTGCAGTGAGCAGCAAGGCTGAGGACCATTGTGCGGGGGACGGAACTTGGCCAGTTTGTCTCACAGTAAGCTGATTTCTTGCCAGTAAAGTAGGCCCACCAGCACGCAGGGCACAGGTCATGAGCAGCCAGATGAACTGCACAACTGTGTGCATCCGGGTGAGGGTGAGGCCCCTTCTCTCTTCAGAGTGACCCTGATGGAGTCTACAATGGATGCTCAAGAGGAGGCCCAGGGCTGGAGAGGATCTAGAGCCAAGACACATACCTGGACCAGGTCAGGTGTAGTAGTGCAGGCCAGCAGTCCCAGGACTCTGGGAGGCTGAGGCAAGAAGATCGTAAGTTCAAGGCCAGGCGGGGTGACTGAGCAACTTAGCAAGACCCTGTCTCACAAAACAAAACAAAAGCCTGATCCACCCCATCTGAGAGGTGCTTCTCCCCCATCACCCACCCACCCTCTCTAGGCTGCCCAGATTGGAGCAGGGAGAAGGGCTTGGTGAAGCCATGGGGCTGTCTCATGGTGCACTCCGGAGTCAGTAGAGGGCCACCCTCTTTCCGCAGGCACCAGGAGCTACCAGGAGCATGGCCACCGGATGCTGCTCATCTGGCTGCACGGCATGACCCTGGCTGGCAAGAACCCCAGCAAAGCGCTGTTCGAGGGCCTGGTGGCCATTGGCAGGAGGGATCTGGCTGGTGAGAGCTCCCTCTGCTCAGACCAGAATGCTGTGCCACACGTGGCAAACTGCCCAGATTCCTGGCCCTGGCTCCCGTCACCTCCTGAAACCTCACAGAGCCTTGCACATGCCACAGAGCCTCTTGGCTCTCTTGTCCCCTTTGGTATGGCAAGTGACCCAGGCGAGCCCTCTGACTTTAACAGTCTGCAAAGCCGTTGGTACTATAATCTCTTCCTCCCCAGCCCTCTATGGCTTGATTTATTTATTTCCAATTTGGAATAAGTCTGGGACAGCCTTCAGACTTTTTCATAGACATTAAGACATAGGAGCCCAAAGTGGCTTAATATGAGTTTAACCAGTCAGATGTAGTGAATAGAACCTCTGAGGCCATCGCCACCTGTTTACACTTTCCTGCTGGCCTGAATCACCGGTGGTACATGCATGACTGTCCCATCAGGAGGCTTGTACCATCCAATGTCGCATCCCACCCAATGGGACAGTCACGCATGTATCATCAGTGGTTCAGAGCCACCTGGCAGCCAGACATAGAAATTATGGCCCTGTCGAGAGCATGTTAAGTGTGCCACCCCAAAAGCCTGATTTGGGTTTCAGAGAGCCCCATAGACCATCAGGGAAGCAGGACTAAAGGTTCTGGTACTAATCCATTGTGAAAAACAAAATCAGCTCAAGACAGACGTGAGTCCTAAACACTGTCATGTCCACTGACACGGTATGTTACGGGGCACACAGGATGGGGTACTAGACAGTCACCGAGAGTTGTGAAGGGCAGTTATTAGGTGACAAGTATAAACAGCCACCAGATATAATGAGGTAACAAATGAAAGGCCAGCATGGTGGCTGCAAGCAAGGTGGCAAAGCAGAGTCATTTCAGGGTGAAGGAATTAGGGGTGACTTTTTCTTTTTCCAAAATATTTTAAAATATAGTCATCATACCTTCTTTTACCACAGAGTCTGGCAGGCAATAGAAAGGTAAGACCAGCCCTGGGAGGCTGAGCTGAGGTAACAGGATCCTTGTGTTTTGCAGAAAGCATCAGGAAGAAAGTAAATGCTGAGCCGAGGGCCCCCAGGAGCTGCATGGCCATGTGAGCACAGGCCCAGCCTTCCCACATGGGGCTGGAGCGGGGCCACCCAAGAGCCATGACTGCTGCCGTTGAAGAGCTTTGAAATGCTCTCCGGGACAGGCCTCCAGCTTCTTCCACTGACTTCACAGTCACACAGAGACCAGCAGGCAAACATTTGTCATCTCTTTGAAGAGGATGGTCCTGGGGCCTGTTTCAGATTTTGCAGGTCATCCTGTCACAGGGGTATGGGCCTTTGTAGCTCTCTGCTCTTTTCCCCTTGAAGGTGTAAGGGACATCTTTACAGATAGGATATCAAGGCCCAGGTAGGAGAAGCAGTGGTCCCACTGCAGTCAGGTGGTGGGGTTGGGGTTCCTCCAGCATTCCCAGCGTTCCTCCCACCCCAAACCTGGGGAAAGGGCTCTGTCTGTCGCTTTCAGAGTGGACTGTTCTGAACTTGGTCACTGGCTTTTAAGAATACCCACGCTTTCTCTACAACTGTTTGTACTTCCAAATATATATGCACTTGGGACAGTCCCAGGAGGCATGCAATCCCATTTCCCCCATCTTATTTTACACTTGATCTTAGGCAAGAGGCCAAGAAGGGATCCGCCCTCTTATTTTTATAATTTAAAAAAATTTTAAACTTTTAAATTTGAAATTATTTTAGACTTACAAAAGAGAGTTGCAGAAATAGTTCAAAGAATTTCCAGGTTTCCATCTGCAGAGCAGTTGCATTTGGGATGAGATAGAAGAAAGAATTCTCATTTTATACTCTTTTGACTTTGAAATGTGCAGGCGTATTGCTAACTTGCATCCAGAAGGGTATGACATTCTGGAAAAGGCAAAATAATAGGCAGTAAACAGGTGAGTGCTTTTTCAGGGGGAGAGAGGGAGGTGGGGTGAATAGATGGAGTCCAGGGGATGTTTAAGGCAGGAAAGTTGTTTTGTATGATACGGTGATGCTGCATGCAAGATATTTGTGCATTAGTCAAACCTGCAAAGTGTGCAACACAAGGAGTAAGCCCGAATGTAAACTATAGACTTTCATTAATAATAATGTCCATGGGCTGGGGATTTAGCTCAGTGGTGCCGGCGCCTGCCTTGCAAGCGTAAGGTCCCGAGTTCGATCCCCGGTACCAAAAAACAAAACAAAACAAACAAATAATAATGTCCACATCGGTCCATCAATTGTAACAAATGGACCACACAGATGCAAGATGGTAACCATGTTGCGGGAAATGGGTGTGATGGGGAGGGATATATGGGAATTCCCCATGCTTTCTGCTCAATTTTTCTCTAAACTTAAAACTATTAAAAAAAAATAAAAACTCAGAAAAAGCTACAGTTATATAAAGGAAAGAAGGAAAAAGTGGCTTTAAAAATCAATCCATTGGAGGGCTGGGGATTTACCTCAGTGGTTTTGCTGTCTGCTGCACAAGTGCAAGGACCCGAGTTTGATCCCCGGTACCAAAAAAAAAAAATCAATCCATTGGGCTGGGGATGGTGGTGTGGACCTGAAGTCCTAGCTCCTCAGGAGGCTGAGGCAGGTGGATTATGAGTCCAGATGCTACCATTTGGGTCAGGAATGTGCTGGAACCTTGGTCCCCAGCTGATGGCACGACTGGGGAGCAGTGGACCCTTTAGGAGAGTGGCCTATAGAAGGAAGTTAGGTCACGGGGGGCTGTGGCTTTGAAGAGGATGTTAGGATGCAGAGTTCTTCCTCTTAGCCTCCTGGCCACCCTGAACAGACTTCTCTGTCACATGCTTCCACCATGATGTCCTGTACCACTGTGGCCCACAGCAGAGGGACCAGTCTTTCCTTATCAATTTATTATCTTAGTTATTTTGTCACAGTGACAGAAAGCTGACCAACACACCAGGAGCCTGAGGCTAGCCTGGGCAACAGGCCTCTGTCTCAACCCATATATTCCATTTGGGAAAGGTATTTTGTACCACATGGGACTTAAAACATTTATCTGGATGAATGTTACACAGCGAATTTTGTATTTTTCTTCTGAGACAAAAAGAGAGTTCTTATATACAATTGGAATGTTTAAATATATCTTTCGGGTTCAACACTCGTTTCGTTTTTCATGGCTCGCTGTTGGGTTGGGAGGTTGGGAGACCCACAGTGAAGCAATGGCCACCATGCAGGAAGTCCCAGATGCTACCAGGTAACCGGCAAGCCCTGGTGCCACTGCTCACCAAAGGAAGCACTTCCCCAGCTTCAGCCTAGGCAGGTGAGCAACTTAGCCTCTATCTCAAACAAACAAACAGAATAAAAAAACAACAACAAAGAAAAGGATTGGGGATGAGCTAAGTGCAAAGGCTCTGAGTTTGATCCCCAGTACTTAAAAAAAAAAGAAACATAAGTGTTATTAGATAGAATACTTGGCATGGTAGGCATAATAATATGGTCTCAAAGGTCTCCATATCCAAATATCAAGAAATTGAGAACCTCAGAACTTGACGTGGCAAAAGGAATTTGGGAGATGAACTTTTGGGGAGCTTCTCCTGGGTTGGTTTCATGGATCCATTGTAATAGCAGGGTCCTGCTAGGAGAGAGAAGGAGGAAGGCAGAGGAGGGTGTGCCGAGGGAAGCCAAGGAATTTGGTGGCCTCCAGCAGCTTGAGAAGACTGGGAAGTGAATTGTCCCTGAGCCTCCATGACAATTGTAGCCCTGCCCACCCGTGTGAGACTTCTGACCTCCAGAACCGCAAGAGCACATGTCTGTGCTATGTGAAGCCCCTGTGTTCATGAGAGTTTGTTATAGCAGCAATTGGGAGCTCATACCCCATTGTAAGCCTGTGTATTTGATTAAACTGCTTTTCCCATGTGATTTACTTTATGTATTTAAGTATTATTCTGAGAGGAGTACATAGGCTTTGCCAGATCCATAAAGAGGGTCAAGGTGTACAAGGGGTCTGGTTTTGCTGTTGTTAGGATCTTGCTGGCAGTGGCAGGAATGTCCATCAGTTCCTGGAAAGGATGTCCCTGTATTTGGGTCATGGGATCTGAGCTGGAGAGTGGCAGGGTAGCAGGGTGGATCAGGCCACCTGGACTGGGCTAGGAGACCACTTTCTGGTTTTTTTGGGTTTTTATGCTTAAATTCTTTTATTGGTACATTTTAGGTATACAATACGTTTACATTTATCATTGGGTGCTTGTACTTGTACATGATGTATCTTGGTTCTTATTTTTTCCCCATTACCTTTGCACCCTTCACCCCCTCCACCCTCCCCTATTTATATAGACTTTGTTTCCTTTTTTTTTTTTTTTTTTGTACCAGGGATCAAACTTGGGACCTTGTGTTTGCAAGGCAGGTGGCAGAACCACTGAGCTAACTCCCCAGCCCTCCATTTTTTTTCTTTTCTCATAATTTTTCCTTTCCCTTCTTTCCTTTCCCCTTCCCCTCCCACTTCCCTGACCCCTTTGGACTTTTTCTTCCTATTTCAAATTATGTTATTCGTTTTAATCCTTATTTACACTTTCAGTTTCTTACACTAGAGAAACTTCGGTATTTACACGTGTCCTATTTATTTCACTTAAGAGTATGGCCTCAATGTGCATCCATTTAGCTATAAATGTCTCTAGTTTCTCATTCTTTATGGCTGAATAGTACTCCATTTTATAAAAAACCACATCTTCTTTATCCAGTTTCCAGTTGATGGACACTTGGGCTGTTTCCCAGTTTTAGCTATTACAAATTGTGCCTCTGTAAACATGGGTGCACATATATCGCTGTGGTATGATTCTTTGGGGAAGATACCCAGCAGGGGAATAGCTGGGTCAAATGGGACCTCTAGTCCTAGTTCTTTGAGGTGTCTGCATGCTGATTTCCACGGTGGTTGCACCAGTCTGCACTCCCACCAACCATGGAGAAGGGTTCCTTTTCCCTCACAACCCCACCAGCATTTGTTATTGGTTGATTTCATTTGTTATTGGTTGATTTCTTGATAGCAGCCATTCTTTCCGGGGTGAGGTGGAATCTCAGTGTTGTTTTCATCTGCATCTCTCGAATGACCGGTGATGTTGAGCATTTTTTCATATGTTTATTTGCTGCTTTTACTTCTTTGTCTGGGAAATGTCTGTTCACTTCAGATGCCCATTTTTGAACTGGGTCTTTATATTTGAGGGGTCTGATTTTTTTCAGTTCTTTATATGTTCTAGATAGTAGACCTTTGAGGAACAGCTGCTAAAATTTGTCCCTCATTGTAGGTTGGGAGACCACTTTCTTGTCACATTCTAACTCAGCTGTGTGATGTCTGCCCTGGGTGCTCAAGGGCCAGCTGGTGCCTTTCCTAGGGTTCTGAATATTAAGTGGAAAGTGCTTAGAAGGTTCCAGGTGGATAGTGAGAAATCAGTAAATGTGCTGTAATTATTAATATTTGAATCTGATGGTTACAAAGGGCTGCAGTCACTAAACTCTGAGTAGAATAACAGCAGCACAGATGCCCCACAATCAGATCGATGCCTCCATCTCTCAATTCCAGATTGGGGTTTGGGGTTGGCAGGGACAAAACACAAAGAATCTAGCACTCTCGCAGGTCACTGTGGCACCTGAGGCTCTGGGCCTCCTCAAAAGTGGTGGTAGAGGGTTCATTGCTGGGGTACAGACATAGGTTACAGGAACCTGCCAAGTTGGCCCCTTAGTGCCAGCCCCTCTCTGGGTGGCTAAAGCCCCCAGCCTACCCCTTGGGGCCTCAAGCATGTTGTCTTCTAAGTACAAAGGGAGGCTGGCCTTGTATCCCTTCCACATTCCAGCCAGACTCCCACCCCCAGCCCATCTCCCAGATAAGCCGAGTAAGCCCAATGGCTGCTCTGGGTCCCTGGGGCAGAGAGTCGCATCCCTCTTCAGCACTGGCTCAGCGTGTGTCTCCCTGGGTGTTTCAGGCTGCTCTGGTCCTGTGTGTGTGTGTTGGGGGTGGGAGGTGCTGTCTTCTTCCCTTGGGGCAGGACTGTAGCATTCTGAGCATCCCTAGAAATTGGGTTGTGCCAGGGTGCTAGGTGGTAGTTCATGTTTTTGTCAGTAAACCTCTCTGTCCCTGGTACTTGCTTCCCATTTGCATGAACCAGCTGGCCGTCACTTGGTCTCTAGAAGTGGCTGAACTTCCATGTACAGAGCTCCTCTCTGATGCTGGGCACTTAGGCTCCCTCCAGCAGCTGGTTCAGTATTTTGTGGAGCTACTGGCCAAGCAGGGGTAACGAGTTGACTGTGTTCCTCAGCCTCATCTAACTGAGGA